TGTGTGTGCGTGTGTGTGCGTGTGTGTGTGTGCGCGCGCGCGCGCAGGCACCTGTCCGCAGCTGTCCCCGTGTGTCCCTGCGTTTCTGCTGGGAGTGGCGGGAGGGGAGGCTCGGGGCCGCCGCTCAAGGTCCCCTTGTCACAGAATCCGTGTCTGTCGAGGAGGGAGACAGGAGGGAGGACGAGAACGCGGAGGGAAGGAAGAAATGGAGGGCTGGGGTGGGGACCCCGGGGGAGGGGGACGATGCGAGCGGAAGGGATGCGAGGCGGGGCGTGGCGGGGTGGGGGCGAGGAGGGGAGGGGTCCCCGACAAGCCGCTCTGCGGGACCCCGCGTGGCCGCCCGCCGGGTCCGCGCCACCCCGCTCTGGGGGGCCCCGACACCTCGACTCCCGCCCCTGTGCGCTGCACGCGGGACTCCATCTCCAGTGCTCGCGGCTGACCGCGCTGTTACAAGCTTAAGCAGATTTTTTGCTTTAACGACAAAAAGCGAGAAAGAGCCGTTGGGGGAGGGGGTTGGGAGCGTCCCCCGGGCTCCCTGTCCGCGGTCCGGCGCAAAGAGCTCGCGCAGGGGGCAGGACGCCAGGCGCCAGCGCCGCGCGAGGGGAAAAGTTTCCGACCCTTGAGCGAGAGGCTGAGAACTTTCGGCCGCGCCGGGCGGCGCCAAAGCCAGGCCAACACTGCCCCCGCGTGGGCGCGGCGCGGCGCTGCAGCCGGTGGCCTCCTTGGGGTCGGGGCGACTCTGCGGGGGTACATACACACTGAGGCTGGAGCCGGGGGGCTTGGCCTGCGCAAAGGCCAAGAGGAGGAGGTGCAGCAGAAGCAAGTCTTCTGGACTCGCAGGCTCTCCAGGAAACAGAACTACTGCTGGTGGAGTGGGAGGGCGGGCAAGTCAGAAAGTGGGGATGGGAGAGATTAAATCATCCCAGGGATTGCAATTCCCCTCCGGTCCCATCCCCCACAGGGTTTGTAGATCCATGACTTGACAGTCCCTTGGACTGCAAGGAGACCAGCCAGTCCATCCTAAAGGAGATCAGTCCTGGGTGTTCATTGGAAGGACTGATGCTGAAGCTGAAACTCCAATACTTTGGCCACCTGATGCAAAGAGCTGACTCATTTGAAAAGACTCTGATGCTGGGAAAGATTGAGGGCAAGAGGAGAAGGGGCGACAGAGGATGAGATGGTTGGATGGCATCACCAACTCAATGCACATGAGTCTGAGTAAACTCCGGGAGTTGGTGAAGGACAGGGAAGGCTCGCGTGCTGCAGTCCATGGGCTCGCAGAGTCAGACACAACTGAGCAACTGAACTGAACTGAACTGACCCGAACTGACCCTTTTGTGGAGGCAAAGTCGTCCTTCAAAACAGCGCCCTCAACTTCTATTACCATATGTAAAATAGATAGCCAATAGGGAATTTGCTGTCTGGCTCTGTAAACTCAAACAGGGGCTCTGTATCAACCTAGAAGGGTGGGATGGGGAGGGACGTGGGAGGGAGGTTCAAAAGGGAGGGGATAGAGGTATACCTATGACTGATTCATGTTGAAGTTTGACAGAAAACAACAAAATTCTGTAAAGCAATTATCCTTCAATTAAAAAAAAATGTTTTTTTAAGAAAGGAAACAGCGCCCTCCTCCATCCACAACCCGTCCTGGTCCCACGATTCCCGGCGGCCCGTCCAGCCCAAATCCCGTCCCTTGGTCTTCAGCAGTGCACCCAGTGGGTGTGGGTTCCGTGGCTTTTCCCTTGGTGGCCAGGAGGTGGCAAAATAGACCTCGACGCTGGCATTGGTGAGGGGTTGGCGCCACAGCGCAGCTCCAAGAAGGGGAGGAGGCTGAACTCTGCCCAGCGGTGGGCACGCCGGTGTGTGGCAGGGCCAAAGCGGGCACACAGGCAGAAGGAGGTGGCGCTGCTGGGTCAGTGCAGCATCAGAAGGACTCCAGGCGGTTCCTGCCACCTTGTCTTTCACCACCTCCTGATGTGACTCCAAACACTCCCCCACTCCTGGTACCAACCCCCGCCCCAACTAGGACAGAAACATCTGGCCCCTGCCCACCCAGGTGCTTGCCCTCCAGGGACCAGATGGTGAAAACCCGGCCTGGGGAACACAGAAGACGAATGCTTCTCCCTTCTGCCACAGTCTGGATGCCCTTACCCTATCAGGGAGTTCCACAAGCAGCCTTTCCGTTCAGTCGCTCAGTCGTCTCCCACTCTGCGACCCCACGGACTGCAGAACACCAGGCTTCCCTGTCCATCACCAACTCTCTGAGCTTGCTCAAACTCATGTCCATCAAGTCGTTGATGGACCATTTCATCCAACCATCTCATCCTCTGATGTCCCCTTCTCCTCCCGCCTTCAATCTTTCCCAGCATCAGGGTCTTTTCCAATGAGTCAGTTCTTTGCATCAGGTGGCCAAAGTATTGGAGCTTCAGCATCAGTCCATCCAACGAATATTCAGGACTGATTTCCTTTAGGATGGACTGGCTGGCTCTCCTTGCAGTTCAAGGGATGCTCAAGAATCTTCTCCAACACCACAGTTTAAAAGTATCAATTATTTGGCGCTCAGCCTTCTTTATGATCCAACTGACTACTGGAAAAACCACAGCTTTGACTATACAAATCTTTGTCAGTAAAGCAATGTCTCTGCTTTTTAATATGCGTCTAGGTTTGTCATAGCTTTTCTTCCAAGGAGCAAGCGTCTTTTAACTTCATGGCTGCAGTCACCATCTGCAGTGATTTTGAAGCCCAAGAAAATAAAATCTCTCACTGTTTCCATTGTTTTCCATCTGTTTGTCATGAAATGATGGGACTGGATGCCATGATCTTAGTTTTTTTGAATGTTGAGTTTTAAGCCAGTTTTTTTTTTTTACTCTCCTCCTTCACTTTCATCAAGAGGCTCTTTAGTTCCTCTTCACTTTCTGCCGGCAACACTTAGCAAGTCCCTTATCCCGAAGCTGGAGAAGGAAATGGCAACCCACTCCAGTATCCTTGCCTGGAAAATTCCATGGACTGAGGAGTCTGGTGGGCTACAGTCCATGGGGTCGCAAAGAGTCGGACATGACTGAGCGACTTCACTTCACTTTCTGCCATAAGGGTGGTGTCATCTGCATATCAGAGGTTATTGATATTTCTCCTGGCAATCTTTGATTCCAGTTTGTGCTTCATCCAGCCCAGCATTTCACATGATGTACTCTGCATATAAGTTAAATAAGCAGGGTGACAACATACAGCCTTCACGTACTCCCTTCCCAGTTTTGAACAGTTTTAACTGTTGCTTCTTGACCTGCATACAGATTTCCCAGGTGGCAGGTAATGAGGTCTGACATTCCCATCTCTTGAAGAATTTTCCACAGTTTGTTGTGATTCACACAGTCAAAGGTTTTAGAGTAGTCGATGAAACATATGTTTTTCTGGAATTCTCTTGCTTTTTCTATGATTAACAGATGTTGGCAATTTGATCACTGGTTCCTCTGCCTTTTCTAAATCCAACTTGAACATCTAAAAGTTCTTGGTTAATGTACTTTTGAAGCCTATTTTGGAGAATTTTGAGCATTACTTTGCTAGCATGTGGGATTGAATGCAATTGTGCGGTACTTTGAGCATTCTTTGGCATTGCCTTTCTTTGGGATTGAAATGAAAACTGACCTTTTCCAGTCCTGCGGCCACTGCTAAGTTTTCCAAGTTTGCTGGCATATCGAGTGCAGCACTTTCACAGCATCATCCTTTAGGATTTGAGACAGTTCAGCTGGAATTCCATTGCCTCCACTAGCCTTGTTTATGGTGATGCTTCCTAAGGCCCACTTGACTTCACATTCCAGGATGTCTGGCTCTAGGTGAGTGGTCACACCATCATGGTCATCTGGGTCATTAAGATCTTTCTTGTATAGTTCTTCTGTGTATTCTTGCTACCTCTTCTTAATATCTTCTGCTTCTGTTAGGTCCATACCATTTCTGTCCTTTATTGTGCCCATTTTGCATGAAATAGTCCCTTGGTATCTCTCATTTTCTTAAAGAGATCTCTAGTCTTCCCCATTCTATTGTTTTCCTCTATTTCTTTGCATTGATCACTTAGGAAGGCTTTCTTATCTCTCCTTGCTATTCTTTGGAACTCTGCATTCAGATGGGTATATCTTTCCATTTCTCCTTTGTCTTTCGCTTCTCTTCTTTTCTCAGCTATTTTGTAAAGTCTCCTCAGACAACCATTTTGCCTTTTTGCATTTCTTTTTCTTGGGCATGGTTTTGATCACAGTGTCCTGTACAGTGTTACAAACCGCCATCCACAGTTCTTCAGATCATCTGTCTATCAGATCTAATCCCTTGAATCTATTTGTCACTTCTACTGCATAATTGTAAGGGATTTGATTTAGGTCATACCTGAATGGTCTAGTGGTTTTCCTTACTTTCTTCAATTTAGGTCTGAATTTTGCAATAAGGAGTTGATGATCTGAGCCACAGTCAGCTTCCAGTCTTGTTTTTGCTGACTGTATAAAGCTTCTCTATCTTCGACTGCAAAGAATATAATCAATCTGATTTCTGTATTGACCATCTGGTGATGTTCATGTGTACAGTCATCTCTTGTGTTGTTGCAAGAAGGTCCTCTTCCAACAACAAGCAGCCTTTGGTTCCAGTCAAAGATGGAGTCTGGGGGGATGGTGGTTCAGAGCAGATGCCTGTTTCAGGTGTGGGCTGATCTAGGTTAACAGAGGCCTGGTCCCAGGTTTGAGGTGTATGGCAGGGTTTCCCACCTCCCAGAATGGTTCACTTGGAAGAAGCCTGACCCCTAAAGATGCCGCACTTCCTCATCTTCTGTGACCCTACCCCTTCCATACCTCCTGGTCCAGGACCCCCGAAGACTAGCAATGAGGCACCTGGAAAGGTTTGCAGGGTGAGACCCGACAGCGGACACAGCCACCTGGGATGCGTGTTTATTTGTGGGTCAGGGAAGGCCTCTCCTCACCCCTCACCCATGTCCACGGCTGGGCTTGGACACCCAGACTGACCATTCACCTCTGGGTGCGACGTGATGCTGACGGCAGGAGGAGCTGGTACCCCTTGGGGCAGCCTCGTTTCAGGACCGTGTGCAGCACCACGCTGGGCAGGAAGGACTCCTAGAGCGAGAAGGAGGGCCACTTTCGGGGGCCTCTGTGAAGGAGACAGGGTTTCCTGGGCCCAGGGAGTTCTATACTGCAGCCCAAGGGGGCAGGCACCGCGGTCGGCCCCATTTTACAGGTGCAGAAACTGACATAAAAAAGCCCCCACCTATAGCAGGGTAAGAGCTGGAATCTGACCCCCAGTGGTCCAGCCTGAAAGCCCGCCCCTTAGCCGAGCACATACAGAGGCTTTGCCCAGAGGCCAAGCCACCCCACTGGGCATCCTCCCAGCAGGCAGGGCGCTCCAGGTGGCTGGCCTCTGGCAGATGCTCACCAGCTTCTGGCTCCAGGAACAGGGCAATTTGCCCACCTGCTCCAGAAAGGTTTTGAGGTCCCCCCGCTGCCTCTGGGTGGTGGCTCTGGGGATGAAGGGCAGGCTGCTGTTCATGGAAGTGTCCTCAGAGAGGTGGCCTTTCGGCTCCAGGGTGGACCTGAGGGGGACAGGCGCCCATGAGCTGTGTGGACCCTGAGTCTCAGGTTCACACGTGGCTGGCAGGACCCTCCAGGGCCCAGACCACCGCTGGACAGGGAGGTTTAGAGGGGGAGGAGGCACGTGCATCCCGTCCCCTTCCACAAAGCCTCACAGGCCAGGGAAGTCCCAGCTGAAGGGGCTGGCCGCAGTCTCCTCCTTGGCCCTTGAGTACAGGGCTTTGGGCAAGCTCTCCAGCCATCTCCCGACACTCCCGAACACCCGATCTGATGCTGTCGACCGGGCCTTGGCTGTCCTGTTCTCGAAGATGCCCTGCCGGGCTGAAGGACAAGGGGCATGGGTGAGATCTCTTCCCCGGGCGGGGCCACCTGTACCCCACCCTCCCGCCTCTTCCCTGTGACAGGCAGAGCCCTGTCTCCATGGCAACCCAAGGCTCCCCAGCGCCTTCTGGCTGCCTCCAGAGAAGGCTCTGGTTTTAAAACTATCCTGCATGACTGTTTCCACCTTTCTTATCCAAGCTCTGCCCCCCTCAATTCTCTCCCCATACACCTACTCTTGTTCCAGCCCAATACAGGCCCCTTTTCCCACCATGGGAAACCCAGTGGCCCCACAAGGGAATAAAAGCGATGATGCTGAGAATCCTATAGGGTTGGAGTCTTTCCTGCCCAACAGCTGCCCCTCTGGCTGGTCAGGAAGCCTGAAATCCCCGCCCTGGTGCCCCGAGGGGATGGCCATGGCCCCTGTGCCCAGTGGCTGCCAAGGAAGTGTCTCCTGTGCCAGCCAGCTACCATTCCCAAGAAACTTTCTCCAGGCCCCCCTCCCTTTCCTGGCACTCCCAGTGGTGGCTGGGGTGGACTCTGACTTCTCAGCTGCTTGTCATCTGCTCTTGGGGCCTTGGCTTCCCCCATCAAATAAAACTGGGCAAAATTTCAGCTTCCACCTCCAACTTCCTGCCATCCTGAGGGCACTGGGTCGGGCTCCTCCTGAATCGGCCAAGGTCCTGGATTTTGAGGACTTTACCCCCAGCAAGGGCAGGAGGAGAAGGGGGTGACAGAGGATGAGGTGGTTGGAGGGCAGCATCGACTCAATGGACATGAATTTGAGCAAGCTCTGGGAGTTGGTGAAGGACAGGGAAGCCTGGCATGCTGCAGTCCATGAGGTCGCAACGAGTCAGACACAACTAAGTGACTGAACAGTAACAATCCCCAGCAAGGCTTTGGAGCAGCTGTTCTCTGAAAGTGCACACAGTTGGTGCTTAATAAATAGATGAGGCTGTTGGATTGCTGGATCCTCAGAAGAGAAAGGGCTGGGCAGAGGAGGAAAGGGGGTCTTAGGAAGGGTCATACTAGAGCGAGGATGTGTATTCTTCCTGCTTGCCTCTTGTGACACCCACTTCAGAAAACACTGGAAACTGCCAGCACTGATATGACCACATCCATCACCCAAGAGCCGAGAGCAAAGTTCTCCCCGGGGAACCTGGGACTGATACTCGGTCCTGAGCTTCCTTGCTGGACCAGGCAGTGCCAGCCTCCCGCAGAGGTGTGATCTTCTAGAACTTTCTGGACACCTCCTCGGCCAGGCCCCTGAGGTCTGCCTTCATAGATCTGGGAAAAGCTTCGGGTGTCTCAGTTCCCACCTTCTCCAGCCCCTGGAGGCCAGATGCAGGGTCTGCAGGCTGTGGGTGCGGGTTCCAAGGTGGGCAGAGGATACAGCACGTGGGAACCCTTGGTAGTGAGCAAGCCTTCCGTGATGGTCAGGCCTGGGCACACCTTGTTCTCTGGACCCAGCTGCTCCCTGGCACCATGTGCCTTGAGCCACCTCTGCTGGACCTCAGACCCTATACACGGTCCTTGAAGGTCACCCTAAGGGCCTCTGGAAAGGCCAGTTCAGGGGCCTCCTCTGCGGGGCCAGTGGCTGCTTGGCCTTTGCAGTACCAGGGCCCAGTCTCTGCCGGCCAGGTTTCAGGCTGGAACTTTCTGGAGTTCCAAGGCTCCCCCTCCTGTCTGCTCACCGGCACAGCTGCGCTCCCAGTAACGGAGCGCTGTGTCCCGCAGCGTCTCGTCAGCAAATCTCACTCGGAAAGGGCAACATCGCCTGCGGTGTCCTGAGCCTTCCCCCGAGGAGTTGTGGGTGAGCACAGCCTTGAGCTTGGGGGCATGGGTAGCCTGGGGCCTGGTGAGAGAGACGAGAGGGGCTCAGCTGCCAGCCTCCATGCCACCCCGCCAACACACACCTCCACCAGAGCTCTCTGTGGGATCCTGACCATCCTTCCTGAGCACTTCCTGCCCCCCAAAGCGATGGATCAAGCATGTAACAGGCATCAGCCCACCAAACTCACACAACCCTGTGAAACACGATTATTAGTCCCATTTTACCGATGAGGAAACTGAGGCACGGAGATTTTTAGATTTTTTTTTTCAACTTGCCCAAGATCGTACAGCTGGTTAGGGGTGGGACTGGGCTATGAATCCTGGTTCCAGAGCGGGTACTCTTGTATATCAAGCAATTCAGCAGAGAGAAGAAGGATATGAACTCAGGAGCTGGGCAGTCCCTGGGTTTCAATTCTAACTCTTGGAGCCTCAGTTTCTTTGTCTGTAAAATGGGATCATCGTGCCCACAGTACAGGGCTGGGAAGACATGAAAGAGACTGAAAAACACCCCCACCCCGCCACGGTCTGCAGGGCCAAGAGTAAACATCTCTGAGAACTGTTCCCATAGTCGTCAATTTCAACTATGAAACATCCCAGTCCTGTGACATGGGGCAGACTACCAGCAGATCTCCCCTTTAAATGATGTACTGTGTATTGTGGGCAGGATAACAGCATCCTTATAAGGGTTTGAACGAGTGCATGCTAAGTCTCTTCAGTCGTGTCAGACTCCTTTGCGACCCTATGAACTATAGTCCGCCAGGCTCCTCTGTCGATGGGAGTCTCCAGGCAAGAATACTGGAGTGAGTTGCCATGCCCTCCTCCAGGGGATCTTCCTGACTGGCAGGCGGGTTCTTTACCACTAGCGCCACCTGGGAAGCCCTGTAAGAGTTTGAGTGCATGTTAAGTTGCTTCAGTTGTGTCCAACTTTTGTGACCCTATGAACTGTAGCCCGCCAGGCTCCTCTGTCCATGGGATTTTCCAGGCAAGAATACTGGAGTGGGTTGCTGTGCCCTGCTCCAGGGGGTCTTCCTGACCCAAGGATCAAACTTGCATCTCTTTTATCTAACCTGCATTGATAGGCGGCTTCTTTACACTAACATCCCCTAGAAGTGCTCTAAGAGTTTGGTGAGTATTAGATAAAATGTGAATCATCTAGTATGGAGCCTGGCCAGGGGCCTTGGCTCAGTAAAGGGGATCTGTGATTATTACATTTATTGTTATTCATTTCAGCCTCCAGAGCAAGGCTGCAGTACGGTGTGCTTGATTCATTGATGGCTGTTATTCAGAAATGCCATGTTCGATCTTAAGTACATGCCTATGGATATACCTGTCTCCATTTATCTGACCACATCTTTATGTCCATGTGAACACAGAGAGGACACTTTTCATGAGTCCCTTAAAGAGCCAGGCAGCCAGGAGATGACCAAGACGGTGTTGGCTACAAGCATTGGGACCTAGTTACACAACAGTGATGTGCATCCATAGGCGGTGTCTTCCTGGAGCACTGAGTCAAGAAAGGTTCTGAGGCTCAATGGGGGGAGAAGTGCTGTGCTCAATTAGTAATGTCTGCCATGGGTCCAGGATGAGAAGGAATGGCATGTCTAGTGTATGTACTGCCCCTGGTCTTTAAACTCAAGGACGATGCTCTTCACCTTTCGTCCAGGGTTAAGCAGGAGGAACTACTTCTGCATTATTTTCTCCCTCCCTTAGAGCTACTGCATCCAGGTCCAGCTAGGTTCTAGTGCCCAGGCTCTTCCGACTTCCATTCCTTATTCTGTTTCTCCCAATATTTGACATACGTGCTGTGCTCAGTCGCTCAGTCATGGCCGGCTCTCTGCGACCCCATGGACAGTAGCCCACCAGGCTCCTCTGTCCGTGGAACTTTCCAGGCAAGAATACTGGAGTGGGTTGCCATTTCCTTCTCCATTGACTTCTCCCCTGGTGGCTGCTTCCCTGGGTCTTCCCTGGTGGCTCAGAGGTTAAAGTGTCTGCCTGCAATGCAGGAGACCTGGGTTCAATCCCTGGGTTGGGAAGATCCCCTGGAGAAGGAAATGGCAATCCACTCCAGTATTCTTGCCTGGAGAATCCCATGGACGGAGGAGTCTGGTGGGCTACAGTCCACGGGGTCGCAAAGAGTCAGACACGACCGAGCGACTTCACTTTCTCCATTGACATGGAGAATCAAAGTAAGAGGAAGAGATGGATGAATGAATGGCAGGGTGGGTGAAAGAATGGGTTGGTGGGTGGGTGGGTGGGTGGATGGACTGATGGATGAATTAGTGAAAAGGTCTTTTTTAGTTGGCACACCACTCGGCTTGCAGGACCTTAGTTCCCCAAAAAGGGGTAGAATCCAGGCCACAGAAGTGAAAGCATTGAGTCCTAACCACTGGACTGCCAGGGAATTCCCAAAAAGGTCTTAATAGAAGGTTTCAATCTTAGGAGGATAGGTAGATGTATGGATGCATGAGTGGATGAATGATTATGTAGATTGGTATGTAGATTGGCTTCATAATTAGATTAGTGATGGACAGTATCCTGGATTTACAAGTGGATGGAAGGATTGGTAGATGATCACTCATTGAATTCTTGGATAGGTGGATAGAATTGTGGGAGTTTGTGAGTAGCTGGATGACTGGCTGGCTGGCTGGCTGGCTGGAGAGATGGATTAATGAATCAACAGGAGACCTGATTCATGAGTGGATGGATGGATGGAGAGATTCATGAATAGATTGTAAAAGACCTGGTTCACAGATGTGTGCAATGGTGGATGGGTGAATAGGAGAATGAATATATGAATGGATTCATCAATGAATTATGAATGTGTGGGTAAAAGACCTGATTAATGGACGGGTGGATGGATTCATAGATGTTGATGGATGATCCTTAAACAGGTTGGGAGAAGACCTGATTCATGGATGGACATATAGATGGATGAACAGGTAGACAGATGTATAAATTCTGAAAAGACATAGGAAAGAAAGAAATGTTCTTTCTCCCCACCCCCTTTCCCCCATCCTCCCGCAACTCACTGATTGGCCTTGACCGTGGTGAACTGCCGGTAATCTCTACTCAAGGGCCCCAGGACAGGTGTCTGATGAAGCAAAATCTTAAGGCTATTCTTGAGGTAGGATGACTGGCCCCTTGAAAACAAATAGGCCATACCTGATATGAGTGATCAGGGTTCCCCATGGTCAGAGCGTTGATGACAACCCTGTCCCCACGAAGAGGTCACTGACGCTTACCCAAGGTCTGGGAGGAAGTGGGAGCTGGAACACCGAGGAGGACTTCCGTTGATCTCTGACGTAGGATGCCTTTGATGTTGAGATGCTGAGGGTGCTGGAGTGCGGGGCGGGGGGGGGGGGGGGCAGGATGAAGTAGAAAGAGTTATGAGCCTTCGCTTGGGGACAGTCTTTATTAGGGTGTTCCTGGTTGCATGGCCTTGGGCCTGTTTATTCATCTGTACAATGGCAGACCCGCCCTCAAGCGGTGGTTGTCTGGATTCTTCCAGCCCTACTTCACTAATACAAGCGTCCTTCTATGCCAGGTGCTGTGACCCCCACCCCGACCACCCCCACCCCGACCACCCCCACCACCGGAAATGACGCAGCCCCGCATTGCCCCGCCCCCTGGGGGGCCGTAGGGGCCTCACTCGGTGGGAGGAGCCGTTCCGCAGACTCAACCCTGAACTGTCGCAGGAACTGCCGGAACCGGCCCGGGAGAACTTCTAGGAGGGAGCCCAAGGAATCGGAGGTCTCCTTGGCCGAGCCCCTGCGAGGGTCCTCGCGCTCTCCGAGCTCGGGGCATGCGGGCGCCGATTCGGGGGGCTCGCCGGCCAAGAGCAGGGGCGGCAGCAGCAGCGACCTCAACCCTGTCCGGCTCCTCGCCGGCCGCTGGGCCACGGTGGGCAGGACCGGCAGGCGGGACCGGGAGCGCCTGAAGCCCAGCCCGGGATCGGAGTACAAGGACTCACAGGCGGGGTCCTGCCACCACTCGGCGCCGCTCTCCGAGGCCCTCAAGCCCCCGAAGACCCCCGTGCCCGAGGCTGCTCGGAGCTCGGGCGGCAGCACCCTGGGCAGCCGCGGGTCTCTGCGCCGGCGATCGCCACCGCCGGGGAGCCCCTCGGGCGCCACCTGCTGGGCCCAGAAGCTGGGGCGACGCCGGGTCATGTCTGGCCCTGCGCTCAGCTCAGGGCATCCTCACGCCAGTGGGGGGCGGAGGGGGGGTGCCGTGGGAAGTGGACAGAAGGGTGTAGACCAGCCCCCCCAGGCCATAGCGCCCAGAACGCGGCAGTGTGGTTCGGGGGGTACCACCACTGGCCCGCCAGACAGTAAAAGTGGCTTCAGACTAGAGCGCCCCGATCCTCTGTTTCCTCACCTGAAGAAACGGTGACGGTAAGAGTACCCACCTTCTCAAGTTGCTGTGACGTTTAAATGAGCCAGCAGATGTAAATGGCTTAGAATAATGCCAGGCACGTTGTACGTGCTTAACAAAGCCTCACTGCTATTATTATTTACAATTATTATTTAGAATTTAGTCTCAGCTCCATTACTTACTGGGGCTTCCCGGTGGCTCAGACAGTCAAGAATCCCCCTGCAATGGGGGAGACCTCGGTTCCATCCCTGGGTTGGGAAGATCCCCTGGAGGAGGGCATGGCTACCCACTCCCTTATTCTTGCCTGGAGAAGTCCATGGCCAGAGGAGTCTGGCGGGCTCTACAGTCCATGGGGTCCATAAAGAGTTGGACAGGACTGAGCGCATTCACTGCCATTACTTACTAGCTGTGCCCTTGCGCAAGCCAGTTAATTGCTCTCAGTGCCCCCATCTGTAGAATGGGGGTAACCCAGGGCCTGCTCCTTTGTGAGAATGAAACCGCGCCATGTGGAAAGCACTTAACACCTGGAGTGTTCAACTTGTTCTACTGTTACTAGCTCTCAGGTGGAAACTGGGAAAGCTGGAACCAGCTTAAAGGGGTGGCTTGCCCTGCAGTTGCCCATTCCTACTGGAGCCCCAGAGTCCCTTGAGTGGGAGCTTCTTGAAAATACAGATGCCTCAGATTCCGATTCATTGGGTCTGGGGCCAAGTCAAGACACTTATTTTTAACAAAATTCCCCTTTGGAGACAGAGCCCCAGACAGCCCCCACCCCACCCCACCCCCGCCCCCACCCCCACCCCAGCTTCTGACACTGGGATCTGAGCCTGCTTCCTCCCTACCACACCCCACTCCCCAGATTGCTGACAGCTCTGAACCGGCTTCCCAGGTGGCACCGTGGTAAAGAATCTGCCTGCCAAGCAGGAGACTCAGTTCAATCCCTGGATCGGGAAGATGCCCTGGAGGAGGAAACAGCAACCCACTCCAGTATTCTTGCCAGGAGAATCCCATGGACAGAGGAGCCTGGCGGGCTGCAGTCCTTGGGGTCGCAGAGAGTCAGACATGACTAAGCGTGCACCCATGCACACGTGCACTGACCAGCTGCTAGGGTCACACTCACCCTAGGAGGGCCTTGGGGGTGGGGCCAGAGACGGCCCCCTGAGTTTAGAGCCCCCTAACAGGTGGGCTGGTCCTTGGGGGAGCGCATCTTCCCGGCCTGGTACCTCTGCTGGCCCCTCCCTGCCGCCTCCATGCCTTTCCAGAGTGATTGTGACCTGCCTGGCACTCAGGGCCAAGTGGACGCTGAGGCTGCGTGTGCTGGAGGGCAGAGGGCGGGGCTGTCATGCTCAGGATGTCAAGGCCACAGTCACAAACGGGAAGGGGGCTCCCCGCCAGGGCAACCAGGCCCGAGGCAGGGATGAAGGGCTGGGGGGTTCAGTTACCCCCTCTGGACCTGGGAGGCTCAGGTGGGTCAGGTTTGGGCTGGGGTGGCTCTGGAGTTAGAACTTGGAAGTCTGGGCAGTAAGAATGCGGTGGGCCTGGAAGCTGCGAGAACCAGCTTTGAGCCTGCGCTCTGCTTCTGCACGCTGTGATGCAGGTTAAGTCTCTCCTTTCTCAGGGCTCCATGATAATATGGGCAGTTGGGCTCCATCTGTGACTCTCGGTTGGAAGGGGGCAGGGAGGAAGCTTGTACTAAAACTTGAGTGAGGAACAAGGGTAGTTTGGGCAGTGATTTCACTGGCCTGGTAGGATTTTACAATTTGAAAATGGAAAAAAAGATGACTTTGAATTCACATTATAAGATGTCTGTCTGGAGGAGGCATCCCAGATAATGTAATGGATTTCTTTTCTTTTTTTTTTTTAAATTAGTTATTTATTTGGCTGTGTTAGGTCTTGGTTGTGGCATGCAGACTCTCCATTGCCTCAAGCGAGATCTCTTGTTGTGATGTACGATCTTTTGTTGTGACTTGTTGTGACGTATGGACCCTCCAACTGGGGCACGCAGACTCATTTTTCTCCTCAGCATGTGGGATCTTAGCTCCCCTACCAGGGACTGAACCCATGTCCCCTGCACTGCCAGGCAGATTCCTAACCCCTGGGCCACCAGGGAAATCCCAATGTAATGTATTTCTGCAAAGACTCCTCAACCAGGGATGGAAGAGCATCTTTCCTTGGGAAGTTAGAATATTGAGTGGGGAGGATGAGAATTTTTTTCTATTTATTCTAAGGGTGTGTAAATTTTTAGAAAATGAATGAAGAACACCAGACTACCTAGATGATTTCTAAGGAACCGTCTGGCCCATACATGCTGCGGACATTTATTGAGTATCTACCATGTGCGAGCCTTGGGAATTCAGTGACTCGAGAGACTTTGGAGGTCAGCGGCCCAGCCAGACCTGGAAAAGTCTTGGAGTCCAGATGCAGGGAAGGGACTTTGTCCTCCATGGACAGGAAAAAAAAAAAGGTAGAGGTGAATTTTTAGGCACCCCTAAAAGATCTAGACTCAGAGCCACACCCACAAAGATTATAGAAATTTCCTGATTGAGGCTGCCCAAGATTTATCCTCTTGCCGTAGAGGTGTGGAAAATGAAGCTTGGGAGAGGGGCCCCAGGCCAGGGAACCAAGTCTTAACTGGAGTGCCCTAGGGAGTCATGTATGGATGTGAGAGCTGGACTATAAAGAAAGTTGAGTGCTGAAGAATTGATGCTTTTGAACTATGATGTTGGAGAAGACTCTTGAGAGTCCCTTGGACTGAAAGGAGATCCAACCAGTCCATCCTAAAGGAAATCAGTCCTGAACATTCATTGGAAGGACTGATGCTGAAGCTGAAATTCCAATACTCTGGCCACCTTAGGTGAAGAGCTGACTCATTGGAAAAGACCTTGATGCTGGGAAAGATTGAAGGCAGGCGGAGAAGGGGGCAACAGAGGATGAGGTGGTTGGATGGCATCACTGACTCAACGGACATAAGTTTGAGTAAACTATGGGAGTTGGTGATGGACAGGGAGGCCTGGCATGCTGCAGTCCTTGGGGTGGCAAAGAGTCGGACATGACTGAGTGACTGAACTGAACTGAACTGAAGGGAGGATGCTACATAATATGAACAGAACTGGGGACTCAATAGCAGGTCAGGGGACTTCCCTGGTGGTCCAGTGGCTAAGACTCTGTACTCCCAATGCAGGGGACCCAGTTTCAATCCCTGGTCAGGGAACTAGATCCCAAATGCAACAACTAAGAGCCCACATGCTGCAACTAAGACCCAGCTCAGCCAAAAAAAAAAAAAAGCAGGTGGGGCTTTTCAGGGCACCCCACTTCCCCAACATAGCTTTCACTTCATTAGAGCAAACACACTTTAAGAACCTCCTGTGTGCAGTGTCCAGGAGGCAGGGTAAATCTAAGCCAGGATGTCAGTTTAGGAAAAAAGAATTTATGATAAATATTGTGAATATTATGCTATACATGAATATTGTGATGAATATTATGAATCAGTTTCTATTTACTGACAGCCGGCTCCAAACACAGGGCTGAAGGCTCAACTCACAATATCCCACAGATTAACCCTCCAAGCATTGAAAAATGACTAATTATTCTGTGCATCTGGCAGAAGTAGACTGAGGCTTGGAGAGGTTCACAAGGTCTTCTACCTGCAAATTCACATGTTCATCTCGGCTGCTTCAGGGACCAATTCAAAATTTGTGTATGGGAGGAACCTAGATGGCAACCTTTCGAAATTGAAACTTCATGGACTTGTTCTGCTTATTTGGAGTGGCAACCCCTTGGCACTGTCAAGGGTATTTTTTTTCTTTACCTATTTATTTTTTTTGGATCTGTATATTTTAAGGATGTTAATTGTTATGGGTAGAGTTAAGGCTTGAATAAGGCTCTCCCCCCCCCCGCCCCCCACCCCGCCTCTTTTTTTGTAACCCAGGGGAAGACCCACAAAAGGCTCTTTTTAAGCCGCCTCCAAATGAGCTGGTGCACAAGCCGAAGGCGGGATAAGCGCTGCGCTGCGGCTCCGTAAAGGCAGGGAAGTTCTCGAGTTAGGGCAGGAGCCCAAGGGGGCAGGGGGGCGGGGACAAGCCGCGCGGAGGCGGAGCCCGGAGCGGTCCCCGCCCCCAGAAAGCCCGGAAGTGACGTGAGCGGACAAAGGGGGCGCGCGCCGCGAGGTGTCGCTTCCAGCCTAGGTTGGACGGAGCTGGTCGTAGTCAGGTGGGGGTCTTCGTTCTTGCCGCCGCCGCCTCCGCCGCCCTCTTTTCCGCTTCCTCGTCCTCTTCTTCCGCGTCCCAGGAGCCTCCACCCGCGGTGAGTAGCGCGAGGCGGAGCGGGGTGGGGGGGGCGGAGATAGCGGCCGCCGGGAGAGGGGAGGCCCCGGACCCCAACCGCCCCGGTGCCGTGAGGCCTCCCCGGCTCCTCACGTGACCCGAGCGCGAGGGGGCTAGGCCCCACGTGCGCGCTCGCGGAAGGTCCGCCGGCCGGCCCTGGGCCCCCGGGGGCCCGGGCTGGAGGAAGGCTGAGACCCCGCAATCTTGATCAGGTTTGGCCCCCACGCCAAACCCCGCCGCCGCCAGTTCCTTTCCCTGTCTGAACCTCAGTTTCCCCTGTGCCAGACGGGTAAGGCGCGCGCCCGCAAAGGAGGGTGGGTGTGAGGATTCAGGAAGAGCACTCGGCTCACAGTCGGGTACAGGGTATCGTGCTCGTTACACAGGCGTCGCTCTCATATTTCACCTTGGACCCGACCCCAGTGACGGCTCAACAGAAGTGCTATTTCTAAAGACAGCCCGCCGGCCCCCTGAGCCCTTGGAGCCAAGGTCAGCCTGTTGGCAGAGAGGCTGCCATAAATCTGAAGGCCCAGGCCCTGCTGCCCAGTCAGCTGCGACTCTCTCTGGATCTTGGTGTGTCTGTGCGACAAGGGTTAGAAACAGCTGGTGTCAGAGGCCCTGCCGGTGGGGCCGGGCTGTACTGCACGTGGTCTGAATGTATAGAGTCTGCTCAGTGAGATGGCCTGAGCCCCTGGGAGAAAGGGGACCTTGAGCGGGGTCAGAAGTCTGGATTCTGTCCTTGTTCTGTTTCTGGTTTCCTGTGTGTGTGCATCGCTTCATTTTAGTGGATGGTTTTTCTCTCTGTGTGTACCAGGGACTGTGGGAGGGTTGGAAGTAAATACATGTGGCATGCTTTGGTGGCGACCAGAAGCCCTAGAGCCCCCAAAACCTTGGGGGTTTCTGTGCTTACGTGGTCAGAGGCTTGCTCCCCTCTGCTGCCATTGGCAGAGCCATTTGAGCGACTGGCTTGACCACCCTGCAGTAGCAGAAGTAATCCCTTAGGTGTGACAGCACACCACGGTTTATAGGGCCTTTCAACACAATTTCTCATTAGATCTTCACACTTAGCAGAGAGAATTGATGAGCATCTCACTGGACAGAGGTTTTTTGTGGTTTTTTTTTTTTTTTCCAGATTAATATGTTCCCAGCAGTGTCTGGATCACTTTTCACTTTTATATCCACGTTTAATCATCACAGCCCTCCTGTAAAGTCAATATTGTTCCAGTTTTATAGATAAAGACACCTACTTAACTGAAGTTGTGTCTTATCTGAGCTTACACAGCCAGGGAGAGGCAGAGCCAGCATTCAGACCTGGTTCATTCACCATCAAGAGTTTAATCCCCTCCCCTCTTTTTTGTGTCTTCCTTGTTCCCTTCCTTATGACATGATTCCTTTTAAGTGTCAAGGTCCCCTGAATAATCTCATTTACAAGAATTCCACTTACAGGCGATGACAGTTTAGACACCATTCTTTGTCACAGATCCTGGAAGAAGAGTGGTTGCTGGGACGGCTGCCCAGGGTCGCCCTACACACCGTGGGGTGGGGGGATGACCATGAAGGATGCCCAGACAAATTGCACTCTCTGAGAACCAGAAGTTCCCTAATGAGCCAAGGGTTTCTTTTCTCCTCCGAGCTCGTTTAGAGCACTCACAAAGCCAGACTGTGCCCAGGCCCCTTCCCATCCCTGCAGCCATGTGACTCCTTCCTGTGATCTGGACCGAGTATAGGAGGACTTTCTTGCAGTTTGATTGATAACCCTGCTGTCCCCTCTGACTCCTAGGGACCTCCTGCCCACCCCGTCTGGATGCCAGGAGGTCCAGGGTAGACAGAGCCCAGGAGGCATGTTTACTAATGAATCCAAGCTGTTAGAACAAATGTTAGAGTTACCCTTACCACTTCCCAGCCTGGATGTGCCTCCCTGGCTTATTCCCAGACTCTGCCTGTAAGTGGAATTCTTGTCAATGAGAGTATTCAGGGGACCTTGACATTTAAAGGAATCGTGTTGTGTGGCTTTTGGTAAAGCAAAAAATTATAGTGTCAGTAAAGGGCTTCAGTGTTATCAGATTGGAATGGTTACATCTTTGTAGGATTTTCTGAAGAAGTACAGAATGGCTGTAGCCGCACAAAGGTCCTTCTTTGATTCCTTCAGCAACCAGTTAGTACACCGCCACCGTGTATCAGGTCTGAGGCTAATGGTGTGTCAGGCAGTGTCCCTGCGCCCAGGAGCCGTGTCTGCTGGGGGGGAAGGCAGACAACAGGCAGAGGGAGAGAGTAGAGCCCCGGGGCGTCTGGCCCACAATTATTCTGTTCCTTTGATCGGCAGGGAATTTTGTTGACTACCTATGAGCTATGTGGAATGCAAGAGAAACACAGGGAGGCATCTCAGGGTGTCGCCGCTGCTTTCTCAGGCTGTTCCCAGTCCAGTGGGGAGAGGGACTCAAACACGGAACCAGAGGTTTGTCTGAGGGGGACAGGGTCCAAGTACCGGAAGTTTGTCTGAGGGGGAGCATTGCTGCGTGGTGTGGAAGAGCGGGCTTTGGCACTCTGCTTCCAGGGTGGTGGCTGGGGGCGGGTGGGATGCTGTGACAGGGTTGCCGTGGCCTCTGTTGGCCAGGGCCAGGGCGTCCACTTGGCCTTGCCGACCCTGCCCACCTAAGCCACCCCCAAACCCAGTCAGGTTACACAGTGACATTCGAGCTGGTGGCCCACTCTCCTGTTAGCTGTCAGGGAGCCTCAGGGATGGCCACTCTGCCGCATCTCGCACGCTTGGGGACAGGCAGGCCTCTGCATCTTTGCTGTGCGTGTCCCTAAAGGCTGGAGGGACAGAGTCCATCCTCACAAGCAGTATGCCACGTCCTCCTCCTGACTGGGGAGTGGTCGCTGCAGGGGTCGGGACACAGGTGTGGGACACCGCCATGATTGGGGTGGGGGGCAGTATTTGGAGCCCCGGCCCCCCAGCCTGTTACCCCGGAGGGCTCTTGGGTTGGTGCAGTAACTGGAGCCATCGTCACTGGAGTCCCAAGCCCCGCAGCTGCCCGGGGAGATCGGTCCTAGAGTTGATTCAGGAGTCCGCAGAAGGTCTGGAGCAGGGGTCTCTGGGGGCACAGTGGAAGGGGCCTCCAAGGGTGGAAACCTTAGCCGACTCGGGTCGGACACGTGGATCTGTCGGCCCTCATCTGTTCCTCGGAAGGCCAGTGTGTGACCTGGCCCCTGAGAAAGCTGGGATCCGTAGAGGAGGCGGCCCCCTGCCCAGCAGCTCTCACCTGCCAGGCCGGGCTCTCTCTGGTGACCCCACTCACCGGTGGGGTCTCCGGAAAGGGCTGTGTCACTGAGTTGTTTGGGTGGGGTACGCCTGCTGCTTCTGGAAGGTTCCTTGTGGGACAAGTTCAGAATACAGGTGTGGGTTGGAGGCTGGCGACAGACACAGGAGTGAAAAATCTTCAGCGCGCCTCATGTTTTGTTTCCCTTCTCTCCTCCTAGTCTCCAGACTGCGTCCTGGAGGCCCGTGCTGTCCTCGGGGCACTTTCCCATTACTTCTCAAAGCATTCCTCGGTCTTCGGGGCTTCTCACCTCTTTTGCAGGACTGTACCGGAGGGGCGGGGTGGGCTTAACTACAGCCCTGTGGAGTTCTGTAAAGGGGGCGGAGTGAAGCCCCCGGAGCACAGAAGCGCACAGCTTTCCTATAGGCCTGGGGGGCGTCACCTCTGCACCCAGTGACCCCTGTGGGCTTGGGGCTGGGACGCAGTGGTGAAAAGTCCCTGCCTGGGGGCTTCCGTTCCTGGAGGCCAGGCAGTCAGTAAACAGCTCATTTCAGAAAGAAACACACACTCTGAAGGCAGCAGCCTTGGGCAGTGGATAAGGGTGTGGGAGGGAGGCGCCTCTGGCAGGTCAGGGCAGGCCTCTGGGAGGAGCTGACACTCAGGCTGACACGTGGTGATGGAAATGAGCTGCCCACGTGGGGAGGCCTAGGGTGTGGCAGGTGCGCGGGCCTCCCGACCTCGGGCAGGATGCTCACGTGTGCGTCCACCCCCTCCTCTGCACGGGGCTCCTGGGGACCCTGACCTGGCCCTGCCTTCCCACGCTGGGTGCCTGCACACACTCACCCTTCAGAAACTCAGCCAATCGCTTCCCTGTTAGTGACACACGGCAGCCAGCCAGGCCAGCCCTCTGTGTGACATGCATGCCACGCCATCTCCGCTCTGTCCCTGTCCCCATCTGGAGTGTTCCTTGTCCTCAGGGTTTGCCTTCTCTCAGCTGCTGCCCCGTCTGCCATTCGGAAGGGACTCCTTCATGCCTCCTTTCTATCTCAGCGAGAGGCCTCGTTTCTGCCTGGTGTTTGCATTGGTTCCATTCGGGGATCGGGCTTTATCTGGACCAGCCCTGTGCACAGAGAGCATCTGTAGACCAGTGTTGTCCTGGGGAGAGGTGTGCCCCTCCCTGCCCCGTGTGGCACACCAGCTGGCAGGCGTGGGGCGCTGTGGGCCTCCGTCCTGCTGCGGGGGCCTGGCTGTCTGCCGGTCCTCTCACCCCGGAGTCCACTCAGCTGCCAACACTGCCTTCCGGAATCTCACGTCTCAGGCCACTTCCTGCTTAACCCAGAGTAGTGGCAGCTCGCTGCCCTTCGGGGTGAAGGCTGAGTTGGTAACCGTGACCTAGAGGACCCTGGGTTTCCCCTGGAAGAGCCCCTCGCCCTCACATCTTCCAGTTGCTGCGCGAACGCGTCCTCCCTGCTGTCGGCTGCTGTGCCACATCCCCTGGCGCCCATCATCTGCACGCCCCGTGCCTCTCTGTGGCCCTCACACACGCACGATGGTGTGTGTCTGCTGCCTGTCTCCGTGTTCACAGCACTGCACCCCACAGTGAGCCTGTCCATGTGCTCGTGACCGAAGCTGGGAAGCGGGGTCCTCGGGGTCCCAGAGAGGAGGCTTCAGTTCCGTGCTTTGCTCTCCTTTAAGTGTAGATCAGGATCCTGTCTACCCTGGGGTCAGAAGCCGCCAGGTCTGGTGTCCTGTCGGGAGAGGAAGGATGGAGAAGCTGGGATGTCGGGTCTCCTGCTCTAACATGAAGATAGCTTTGCGAAATGACTCGAATGTAAGAGTCAGGAGGCACTGCCCTCCAAGGGGTAGGAGTGGGCGGGGGTTGGGGGCGCCCCTTGGTATCAGACAGGATCATGTGACCAGCAGCAGCCGTGCCAGGAGACCAGGGCCCGAAACCTGGCTGCCTCACCCACGTCCCTTTCCTTCTCAGGAGCCACCGCCGCCGAGTTTGGTGCCTGAGCAGAGACGCAGCTGCTGACAGCATGACTAGCGAGGTGATCGAGGACGAGAAGCAGTTCTACTCCAAGGCCAAGACGTATTGGAAGGAGGTCCCGGCCACCGTGGACGGCATGCTCGGGGGGTATGGCCACATCTCCAGCATCGACATCAACAGCTCCCGGAAGTTCCTGCAGAGGTTTCTGAGGGTAGGCAGGTCCGGTGTGCTCTCCAGGAGGAGAGCCCACGTCCACCACCCAGGCCTTGATGAGCGGGTGGGGCGGGCCAGCTCGTAGGCTTTGCCGCAAGGTCCCCCGCCAGGAGCCAGCTGTCGTGCTGGGGCGTGCAGACTGTCCGTTTTTCCAGAGGCGGAAACCTTTGCCCTCCTGCCATGTTTGCAAAAATCTGGGATGTGGGTGTTGGCAGGTCTGCTGAACACAGGCTCCCAGTTTCTCGTTCTGCCGCCGCCTCTGGGGCAGCCTGGCAGCGCTGTGGCCGGAGCCTCCGCAGGCCCGCCTCCCTGCCTCTCCCTCAGCACACACCGAGGCTGCTGTTGCCCCTCGCTCTGCCCGCGTGCCAGCCTCCCAGATGCGTTCACTGAGTGCCCTCTTTGAGTGCTTCTCTCCACGGTCCTTCTGATGGGAGTCTCGGGAGACAGAGCAGACGAGCGTATCTATTCGGGTTAACACCTTTAAGCGGAGGTTGGCTGTCATTTCAGGAACACGTGGCCCAGAGAAAGGCTGTGCTGTGCTCACGCCAGCCGCCAGCCTGTGCTGATCTGAGTAGTTCCAGGGGCTCTCAGGGAAAGGCCCCTTTGCAGAGACAGGGTCCCTCTGGTTTCCTAACCCTTCTCTTCAGTCTGTCTTCTCTGCTGCTTCAGGAAGGCCCAAACAAGACCGGGACCTCATACGCCCTGGACTGCGGAGCTGGCATTGGGAGGATCACCAAGCGGCTGCTCTTGCCTCTCTTTGGAGTGGTGGACATGGTGGACGTGACGGAGGACTTCCTGGTCAAGGCCAAGACCTACCTGGGCGAGGAGGGCAAGCGAGTGAGGAACTTCTTTTGCTGCGGCCTCCAGGACTTCAGCCCCGAGCCACAGTCGTACGATGTGATCTGGATCCAGTGGGTGATAGGTGAGCCTCCTGCACCTCTCTGCGCCTTCCTGCCCGTCTCTGCTCCTGCAGGTGGGGGGCCAGCGGGGGCTTCTCAAATCCTCCCTCCCCAGGGCTCCACCTCGAAGGTTCATTTGTTTCCACATTTTGTTTCAACTCCGTATCTGCTGTGACCCATTTGGGGGCAGTTTTTTGTTGAAAAGAATTTTTAATTTTCAAGTTTTAACTGCATTCAAAGAATGTGGAAATTAGTTTTGTTAAGGAAGGGGTTTTTAGGAAAAGTGGAAGCCTCGCACCCCCTGTGCTGTTTGTGGGGAGCGAGCCCTGCCGTCCTGTCCGGCACCTGCTTAGCCTGACGGCACACTCAGGGTGCTCCTCTCGGGCTGCCCATCTGGCAGCAGGTCTCCCCACTGTAGGCTGGGCGGCGCCGGGAGCCCACGGGGTCCAGCCCTGAGTTCTGTTCGGGGTTGTAATGTAGGTGAGGAGCTTGGCTGGGTGCACGCCCCTGGCTCAGGCTAGGAGGGTTGGGTGGAGGGCAGGTGTGGGGCAGGTGGCTTCTGAGCCCATTTCCACTCAAAGTGGGGTTTGGTGAACCCCTCTGGGCTGTTCAGAGCCAGCACGTCCTGTGTGTTCAGCAGTCAGCGCTCAGGAAGTCAGTAGCGGTGCCGAAGGCCATGTGGGGGCCTGGCGGGCCTGGCTCTCCCCAGTGACGGCCTCTGCCTCCCCCAGGCCACCTGACCGATCAGCACCTGGCTGAGTTCCTGCGGCGCTGCAAGCGGGGCCTGCGTCCCAACGGCATCATCGTCATCAAGGACAACATGGCCCAGGAGGGCGTCATCCTGGACGACGTGGACAGCAGCGTGTGCCGCGACCTGGATGTGGTGCACAGGATCGTCCGCAGCGCAGGCCTCAGCCTCCTGGCCCAAGAGCGGCAGGAGAACCTCCCGGATGAGATCTACCACGTCTACAGCCTCGCCCTGAGATGAGCGGGCCGGCGGAACGAGGGACCAGTGTGGGGTCGGGGGATTGGCAGCCGGGCAAGGCCCAGAAGCGCCACGTCGATGGTTCGGGAGTGTTGAGCGGGGCCACTAAATACACCTGTCTGCCGTCCACTGCCAAACAGGCTCTTTTTCAGAGAGGCGTAAGGGAACTCGATCCGGAGGGGTGCTGCTGGATGGGGCGGTAAGGCTGGAGGTGGGGACTGGGCCCTGCAGGCCCGCCGACCCCTGGGCCCCTGTGCCCCCATCAGAAGCGCAAGCGAGTCCCTCACCTCCAGGACACCAGCTGGCCTTCCAGCCACAGGCCTGGCTGCCTCAGGAGGAAGACAGTGACCCTTAATGTGGCTGCTGAGGACTGGGCCTCGGGGTAGGAGGGGAGCTGGGCCTGTGGGGCCTGCAGCTCTGGACCTCCTGGGCCAAAGCCCACGCGGCACCTGCTGAATCATGGGGCTGGGGCAAGTCCATGTTCCTGGTGCTGTTGGGAGATGGGGGATATCCACATTTCTGGTGCTGGTGGCGATGGGCCCTGGCGCCCTAACGTGATGGTCACCACAGCCTGTGTCAAGGGGGAGGCCGGAGCGTCAGTCCTGGCTGTGCCTGGTGGCTCCTCCTCGGGGGGGCGTTTCCAGTCAAAAATAAAGGGGCGAAGCCTCTACCGGAAGGGCCTCACCCGTCTGGATGGTGCTCGTCTTTACTGGGACAGCTGTGTTGTGTGCCTGCCACCCCTGCCTCCCAGCTGCCGTGGGATCCTTCACCCTGAACTCGGAAGGTGGTGGGTGTGTGTGTGTGACTGTTACACAAGGACCTTTAAGGCCAAGAGAAATCAGTTTAAGTTTATAAATATATCCTTTAGTCGCCTCGGCTTATCTCCAAGGCAGTTACACAATTCACAATAACCACCTCGTGTGACCCACAGGCGGCCTGCTGAGGGCTCAACACAGGGCGGAGGTTGGCTTTCACCCTTGGTAGCTTTTCCCATCAGATGAACCCTCACGATGTGAGACATTTCAGAAAGACAGCGCACAGTCATGCATGATTGCTTGTTAGAAGGCGTGGTCCCCAAACCACAGGTTTGGCACAAACAGCTGCCACCCGAGCAGGGCCCTGGCCCTTGCTGGGCAGGGTGGTGGGTGGCTTGGCCCCAGAGCTATAGAAGCTGGCTGGAGTTAGCTCAGCTCTCCCTGCCTGCCCCGAAGTGCTTATTTTTTTTCACAGAATCTTGGGTGAAGAGTCAATGGTCTTGGCCGGGCTGCACCCCACAGGCCCCTCCTGGCGTCTCCACGCAGGCTGGGCCGGCTTCCTGTGGAGGGCCCGGGCGTGGAGCCCCCTTGCTTCTCAGAGTGCCCGGCACTCCCTCCCATCAGGAGGGTCCGTGCTTGTCCTAAACCCTGTCCCCACTTCCACTGTGGGCCGAGGCTCAGAGTCGCTGCCAGGGGAAGCGGGGGCAGTCTCCCTCCAGAGAGGCCTTCCTCTGCTGGAGCGCTTGCGGCCGCCGGGCTCCATCCTGCACCTCTGACAGGCGGATGGAGGGCTGTCCCCTCGGGCCGCCCAGACCCCAACCCCCAGCCCAACGGTCAGATGTCGTCCCCGACGGCGCCACTGTGCTCACTGAGGAGGTACCACTTGAGCCTGTCGGGCAGAGGCAGGGCCTTGACCTTGGCATCCACGGGCCACGGCTGAAGGTAGAGGCGGATGTACACGCGGCACAGGTGCTTTAGGGGCGGGGGGTAGCTCTCCAGCTGCCTCAGGGAGAAGTGCAGGGCCTGGATCTTGTCCGCCAGGCTGCCCACAGGGTGGATGTCAAAGTTTTCAGGCAGCTGGAGCTTCTGGGAGTTGGTCACCATGAGATCCAGCACGGTCTCCGCCTTGCGCAGAAGGTCCGCGTGGCTCTCGTCTTCCGCACAGCCCGGGTGGGAGCAGAGCCTCTCAAAGATGATGTGGAAGCCAGACCAGCAGGACGCGCCATGTAGGGAGCAGTTGTAGGCGGCTCCTGACTCCAGCAGGAAGCGCAGCAGAGGGAAGTGCAGCTTGAAGCTCTTGAGGCAGATGTGCATGAGGGACTCGTGGGCCGGGCACTCGCTGGGGTCGGCACCGTGGGCCAGCAGCAGCTGCGTGACTTGGAAGCAGAAGCGGTTGATCAGCTGGGCCTCCTCTTTGTCGCCTCCCACTGTCTCGCCCAGCAGGAAGATGATGCAGGTGAACACTGTGTCCCCGTCTTTGGTAGTGGCCTTGACATCCGCCCCTAGGAGAGCCAGGAGGGGGTAAGAGAAGGTGGGAGGAGGCCTTCAGGCCCGGCGGAGCCATGCCTCACGGTCCGGGGGGCCGTGTGGAAGGCTGGGGCTCACCTCCTTCCAGCAGGAGCCGGATGTTCTCGGTGTTGTGGACCTGCACCCCATCACTGCTGGCCAGAGCATGGAGCAGGGCTGTCTTACCTAGGGAGGGAGAGCCAGTGAGGCAGGAAGTGGGAGGTGGGGAAGCCAAGGTCAGGCCAGGCCAGCCCAGGGGTGGGAGAGGAAACACAGGCCCTCAGGACCAGAGAATGAAGGTTAAAAACAACTAATCTTGGGGATTTCCCTGTGGTCTAGTGGCTAGGACACTGCGCACCCAATGCTGGGGGTCTGGGTTTGATCCCGGGTTGGGGAACTAGATCCCATATGTTACAACTAAGACCCAGAGCAGCCAAATAAACCTTAAAAAAACCAAGACTGATCTCGGGCTTCCCTGGTGGCCAGTGGTAAAGAATCCACCTGCCAGTGCAGGAGACACGGGTCTGATCCCGGGTCTGGAAGATCCCACATCAGCGGAGCAGCTAAGCCCATGCTGCAGGGCCTGGGAGCCGCAGCTACAGAGTCCACACGCCCCGGGACCTGTGTTCCACAAAAGAAGCCTCCGAAATGGAAAGCCTGCACACCACAACCAGAAAGCAGCCCCCACTCACCACACCTAGATAAATGTCCACATACCAACGAAGACCCAGCACAGCCAAAAATAATTAAAACAAAACAAAACAAAACACCAAACTGACCTCCCAGCTACAGCTGAGGGTGACAGGTTTCTGGCCGTTTTCTCTCCACTGACACAAACACAGGACCAGAGGGCCAGGAGAAGTGGGATTTTTCTGGACCCTGAGATGCTACCTGAGACCCAGCCTGGGTGGAAGGAAGCCCCGTCACTCAGAAGCTGAGCACACAGGTCCAACTCCTGCAGACGCCCTCGTGGGGCCAAGATGCACCGCCTCCCACGCCTCTGTGAGTCAGCAGAAGACACCAGTGCGCACCCAGCCGTGCTATGTCATCAGACGGGTTGCCTCCAGTCCACCTGCCGAGCCATCACCCAGCAGGCTCGGGGTCACCTCACGAGGCGGTCTGGCTCGGCCTGGCCTGCTTTTCTCCGGGGGCACCCACCATGCTTGTCAGCCGCATTGACATCTGCTCCGAGGTCCAGGAGGCGTTGCAGGCAGGGCAGGCGCTCTGGCTCCTCGCTGGCCAGGTCCAGGGGGCTGCTCTCGTGGATCTGAGCCGAGAAAGCACAGCCAGGTTGGCCCCGGGGCCTGTGAGCGGCTCGGGGCCCGGCCACCCCCCTCCTGTAGAGCAGGACTGGCCCTCACCCGGTCCCTGCGGTTGACGTCGGCCCCGTGGCGCACCAGCAGCTCCACCATGTCCGGCTGGTTCCGTAGGACGGCGATGTGCAGCGCCGTGTAGTAGGTGACCGGGTCTGAAGGTGCAGACACAGCTCACATCAGCCCTGCCTGTCGGCACATTCTCACGGGATCCCAGGACCAGCCTGGCAGCCCGGCCCCAACGCTCTGACCCAAGGGCTCCGGGCACCGCGAGGGGTCAGGACACAGCTGTCCTCGTCAGACGCTAGGGTACTCAGTCAGGCCTAGGTTCAGGTCCTGGGGAGGCGTTCCAATGAACGGACAAGGTACTTAACCTGGGTTTTAGTCCCTTTTATGAAATAGGACCTAAAACAAGGCTGTGCGGAGGAATACCCACAAATGCTCAAAGCTGGGTCTCCCAAGTGACTGACTGCAGAATGCCTCAGGCACCTCCCCCAGCTCCTTGACCTCCCAGGAGCCCAGCAGCCTCTGAGCCTGTCCTCCAAAGGGGAGGAGAGACATGCCCGGCAGTCCTGTATCAGCACAAAAACCCCCGCTGGGAACAAGTCAGCCCGGAGTATCTCCTGGCTGACCTTGCCTGCCCCCCAGCCCCCACCCAGGGCGAAACAAAGAGGGAAGGAAGATGGCTCCGTCAGCACTCCTGGGCACACCAGCGAGATGCCAACACTGGCTGGCCGTGATTTATGTCCAATGTGTCTTATCTGTTTCCCCCTCTCCCCATGGCAGGAGCCAGCATGCAACATGGCTCAGAACCAGTGGCAGAAAATTACTTTCTCTTAGCTCTGGGCACAGCACCAGCAGCCCCATTTGGAAGCAAGGATTTAGCTGGGAGCTGGGGGAAAGTTTGCTAAGTCAATCACCTGATAGAAGCAGTGACAAACTTGCTCCTAATCAGAGGTGGTTAAGAGCCACTGGGAAACCTGCAAGGGGATGGGAGGCCACCCAGTGTGGGCTTCCTTAGTCATCACCCATAGCACAGATGAGGGCAGCACCTTCCAAAAGCAAGGTCTGAAGGCTGGACCACCCACCCCCAGCAGGGCCACACTTAAGCCATCCATCCTCCCCAGCCCTCCGGGCTCCGGCGGACCTTCAAAGTTGAGGTTGGCTCCATTCCGCAGGAGCACGGCGGCCGCGCGTGCCAGCCCCAGCTCGGCCATCTTCAGCAGGGCGTTGCTCACGCCTTCCTGGTAAAATGGAGAATGGGCTTTTCTCTCAAGCAGCTCGGTGAGAACAAGGATGCGGCTCTCCTCACTGGCGGCATAACTGGGCCTGGGGCAGGAGAGAGGACCAGCTGAGGGTGGGACCTGCTGGCTGGGCACCCTGTAGGGTAGGTGGCCTTTGGTTTCCCGCAGTCACCCCCACTTTGCCCCACCCCCACCCCCCTACCCAGGCAGGGCCCTGGCTCCATGGGGCAGAAAGTCTCTTCCGAAAAGGTTGGTGGGAGAAAGAGGACCAAGCTGGATCTCTTCAATGGAGCAGACTCCTCAGGTTTGCTAAGAAAGGATTGGGGCTGTCATCAACCTCCTTCCAAGTCACCCATACAACCTGGCCCCTGGCTTGGGTACAAAGCCTCATACACCTGCGCTGTCGGCACTGAAGGGAACCCTTGTGGCCAAGGGCAAGAACCAGACACCGACTGACCCGGGGCTGAAGGTGCTCAGGCCACCCTGCAGCCACAGCTGTCAGCAGATCTCCCGAAGCCCGACCACACTCAGAGACGTTCGGTCCACCGAAGGCAGAGGGACCCAGAAAGCCCTTTGCACCACAGCCCGAACCCGCCTATCCACCTCGCCAATTCCAACTGATGCCCGAAACACACCCCCATCCCCCTCTCGGCTCTTTTCTCCGCTCCACGTTAGGCAGTATATACCCCTTTAACCACTGTCAGCCTCTCCTCTCTGGGAGCACGATCACCACGAAGATGGAGGGTTTTAGCTCGCCGATGTAGTCTCTAAACGATGCGCTTTCTGAACAGCCTTCCCACAGGTTCACGTATGACAGACCCGCGCCTGTCTATACCAAACGGGAAACACGGGGCTACAGAAAGCTCATCCCGCGCCGCGTTTAGCGACTCCACCCTGCTCTTCTGCAACTCCAGGTAGAGAGCACAGGACAGGCGGGGCGCAGGGCGGCGCGCTGAGGTGGAGGCCCTGCCGCCACCCCGCCCCACGGCCCTCCCTGAGCGGGCTGCGGCCGCCTCCACCCATCCCCGCCCGCCCTCGGTCTCATCTGACAGATGAGGACACTGCCCGCCATGTTTGCGGGGACAAGGAAAGGGGTGCCGCGCCGGTCTGAGGCGGGGAAGAGCGCCAGTTACCCGTCCAGGGGCTCCTGCCGTTCGGGGTCCTGGATGCCCAAGGAGTCCAGGATAGCATCCACGAGCGGCTGGTACTCGAAGATAATCCTCCGGAAGCCATGCAGGAATGGCATAGCGGCGGCCGCACCTTCCACCGAGGCCGAGACGCCGACTGGGGTGCGTCGCGCGGCCCGCGGTCCTAACCAGGTTCGGCCACTCGCTGGGTCCAGTCCCCAGTCCCCAGCCCCGCGCCCGGCCCGGTGCACCGCCCAACCCGGGACTACGCGCCGGAAGTCACCCGCGCGCTTCCGGCCTGCTCAGGCCCGGGGAAGGGAGCGCGGGGGCGGCGATAGCGCCCTCTGCGGGTTCGGAGGATCGCGGTGCGATTGGGCGCGCACGCTCGGGGGTGTCTTGGCTGGGCCACCCCACGGGACTGGAGGGTGCGGACCCGCAGCCAAGCCAGATCCCAGCCCTAGGCCCGCAAGCCCCGTTCCCGGCCCGGCCTGGCTCCGCCTTGCTATCCCGCCCGCGGCCACTGGGCGCCGTCCGAGCTCCGCCCATTGAGCGAGCACACACCGGCCGGATCCTTGCCCAGCTCCCAGGAAGGCTGAGCCCCCGGTGCCCCCGATTTAGGTCGGACTTGGGCTCGGACCACAGCTGGGCCTGGCTTTCGCTTTCTTCCCACGCTGACTGGACCACACCCACCCCGACGGGCGATGGGGACGATTCCTTAGCCCTGCAGCTTACTAGGGCTTCTTCCACTTTCTGCCTTGATGGACTCAATGAACTTTACTTTCTTCATCTGTATAATGGGGATAATCAAACCCACACAAGATCTTGGGTCAAGACCTCTGTTACTGTCAGTTGAGTCTAACAGGAAGGAGCCCAAGGCTGGGGCCGCTTTTCTAGGGAGTAGCGTCTGGCCCTGGGCCTCGCATTCCAACGTCCACAACGTTACAAGGTTGTTATGCAGATCAAGGGACAAGACTTTAAAATCCCCATCAGGTCTCAGAAAACATCATTTTGCCCCCCCCCCCCCCCGCCATTGCCTAAAGGAGCGAGAAAAGTGGGGAGTGGGGATCAGCAGGGAATCTGCCTGTGGTCCAGGAGACCCAGGTTCCATCCCTTTGCAGGAAGATTCCCTGGAGGAGGAAATGGCAACCCACTCTGGTATTCTTGCCTGGAGAATTCCATGGACAGAGGAGCCTCGCCAACTATAGTCCATGGGGTCGCAGAGTCAGACATGACTGAGCGACTAACACACACACACATACACAGAAGGCTTGCCAGAAGGGGCTCCACTCCATACAGTCCCTCAGTCCCAGCACACATCTGCCTTGGTTCTCACTCCAGGGAGAAGTATCTTCTCCTTAAGTGAAACTGGGAAGTTTATTTTGTTCACAAAGAAGTGGAGATTTCCAGCTTGTCTTGTAAAATCGGAAGATGGGACACCTGAGCCCAAATTCCTATCTGGCAACAAGGCCCCTCTGGATGGGGCCCTTGCTCCGGTGCACCTCAGTCTCCGCAGGAGTTCCCCTGGGGGTCTGGGAAAGGATTCACACCCCACCCCTCAATTGATCCCCTGGCCCTGAATAGCACAGGTGCCCCCAGGTGACCCCTGGGTTTCACATCTCTGTTTGATCTCGAGTCACTTGCTCCATGGCACAGGTGAGGGGCCTAAGGGACCTGGAGAAGGCTAGAGCACGTGGTCAGTAACCGCAGGAGGCCCATCTTCTAGACCATTCTATGGGGTCCAGGGCAGAACTGGGAGGGGTGGACACAGCCTGGTCCGAGACCAGCCGCTACCCTGGCTTCGTTCATTCCCTGAGACTGTGAGAACAAAGCACCAGGAACCAGGGGGGTTAAAACAACAGAAATCTGTTCTCTCCCAGTCCTGGGAGCCAGAACTCTGACCTCAAAGTGTTAGCAGGGCCATGCTCCCTCTGAAGACAATAGAGAAGGTTTTTAGCATCTCTGGGCATGGTTTGGCTTGCGTTGGTATCACCTGATCTCTGCCTGGACATGGAACAATAGACTGGTTCCAAATTGGGAAAGGAGTACATCAAGGCTGTACATTGTCACCCTGCTTATTTAACTTATATGCAGAGTACATCATGAGAAACGCTGGGCTGGAAGAAGCACAAGCTGGAATCAAGATTGCCGGGAGAAATATCAATAACCTCAGATATGCAGATAACACCACCCTTATGGCAGAAAGTGAAGAAGAACTAAAGAGCCTCTTGATGAAAGTGAAAGAGGAGAGTGAAAAAGTTGGCTTAAAGCTCAACATTCAGAAAACTAAGATCATGGCATCTGGTCTAATCACTTCATGGCAAATAGATGGTAAAACAATGGAAACAGTGACAGACTATTTTTTTGGACTCCAGAATCACTGCAGATGGTGACTGCAGCCATGAAATTAAAAGACGCTTACTCCTTGGAAGAAAAGTTATGACCAACCTAGACAGCATATTAAAAAGCAGAGACATTACGCTTCCAACAAAGGTCCGTCTAGTCAAGGCTATGCCTTTTCCAGTAGTCATGTATGGATGTGAGAGTTGGACTACAAAGAAAGCTGAATGCAGAAGAATTGATGCTTTTGAACTGTGGTGTTGGAGAAGACTCTTGAGAGTCCCTTGGACTGCAAGGAGATCCAACCAGTCCATCCTAAAGGAAATCAGTCCTGAATATTCATTGGAAGGACTGATGTTGAAGCTGAAACTCCAATACTCTGGCCACCTGATGTGAAGAGCTGACTCATTTGAAAAGACCCTGATGCTAGAAAATATTGAAGACAGGAGAAGAAGGGATGAGATGGTTGGATGGCATCACTGACTCAATGGACATGAGTTTGAGCAAATTCCAGGAGTTGGTGGTGGACAGGGAGGCCTGGCGTGCTGCCATCCATGGGATTGCAAAGAGTTGGACACGACAGAGCGACTGAACTGAACTGATCTCTGCCTACCTCTGTCTTCACGTGGCCTTCTTTCCTACATCTGTGTCTGTGTCCAGATCTCCCTGTCCTTTCTAAATGGCACCTGTCACTGGATTGAGGGCCCACCCTAATCCAGTATGAATTCACTCTACATTTGCAAAACCCTTATTTCCAAATAGGACCACAGTCATAGGTTCCTCAGGATTAGGATTTAAAATATCTTTTGGAGGGTACACAGCCACTCCAGTGGATGACCCCAGGCATGACCCTTCTGGACGCTGGGCCTCAGTTTCCCCACCTGTAACCCAAAGGCCTTCAGCTCTGACAGAGTTGGAGCCAATGAGGAGACCCTTGACGTCGCCAATGGGCTCTACCAGCAAGAAAAGAATAATTGTCTAGTGATCAGAACAGTAACAATCGCAAGTCAACTTTTATTTACTGAACCTGTTCTGTAGTAACGTTTGACATACTAATCTTAATATACCCTCCTAAAGGGGGTGGCAGAGGATGAGATGGTTGGATGGCATCACTGACTCAATGGACATGCATCTGAGCAAACGCTGGGAGACAGTGAAGGACAGGGAAGCCTGGCGTGCTGCAGTCCATGGGGTCGTGAAGAGTCAGACGTGACTTAGAGACCGAACAGCAATAAGTCAGTGTTGGTATTACACCCTTTCAACAAGGAAACTGAGGCTCAGAGAGGTTTGAGTGCTCACCCAGTGTCGCTCAGCTGGGCTGTGTCGTTAACCCACGTTTGGGGGTCTCTTCCATATACCTGGCCTCCAGGGCTCAGGTGCCTGCCGCTCCTCTGCTTCTGGGCCTGAGAGGGTCTGGACATGCAGAAGGGAGGGGCTAACCCCTGCTCTGTCCCAGCCCCTGGGCACCACACTGTGGAGTGGCCCTGCCGCCTGCCCGTCTCCCAGATTCCTATCTTTAGAAAGCTCCATGACCCGTGACCTCCTTCCCATCAGCAAGGGCAACTCTGTTTCCTCCATCTGCCTCCCATTAAGGCTCTGTCACTCAGAGCCTCTCCTTTCAGCTCTGAACCTTCTCTTTTTTTCCCTGCCTCTCACTACCCTGCCAGTCCAGCCACTTCCTGCCACCCAACTCCAGGCTTCTTAGCAGGCAGTGAGCCTGGGGCCAAGCACCCAGTGCTCAGAGCCTAGCAGGGTCTGTCCCTGCCCCCTCCTCCCCAGGGAGCTTGGGAGTCGCTCTGAGTACCCAACTCACAGAGAGGGATAACCTTCATATATAAAGAACTGTTGAAAATCAACAAGAAGAAAATGAAAACACCAAGAGAAGAATGGTCAAAGGACACACACAGGCATGTCACAAAGGATGAAAAAGGGTTGACCAAAATAAGGAGAGAAGTGTAGGCTCTCCAGCTTTTCAACACTAACAGTGAAGAGAGCTGACATATGGGACTTACCACGTGCTCGACTCTGCTCTGTGGAAGCTCAGCAAAGTAAATTACATAACAGTAGGTGCTGTCTGATCCCACTTGGGGAAAAGTGTGTGTGTACATGTGTGCATGGGAAGGACTAATTCTTTTCTTTATTTTTAAATTTTTCGCCATGCTGCATGGTATCTGGGATCCTTGTTCCCCAACCAGGGATCAAACCCACTCTCTCTGCATTAGAAACACAGGATCTTAACCATTGGACCACCAGGGTCATCCCCAGGAGTAGTTCCCGATGGTCCCGTACTGAGATGCTCAGTCAGTTCAGTTCAGTCGTGTCCGACTCTTTGCAACCCCATGAATAACAGCACACCAGGCCTCCCTGTCCATCACCAACTCCTGGAGTTTACTCAAACTCATGTCCATCGAGTCAGTGATGCCATCCAGCCATCTCATCCTCTGTCGTCCCCTTCTCCTCCTGCCCCCAATCCCTCCTAGCATCAGGGTCTTTTCCAGTGAGTCAGCTCTTCGCATGAGGTGGCTAAAGTTTTGGAGTTTCAGCTGCAGCATCAGTCCTTCCAAAGAACACTCAGGACTGATCTCCTTTAGGATGGACTGGTTGGATCTCCTTTCAGTCCAAGGGACTCTCAAGAGTCTTCTCCAACATCACAGTTCAAAAGCATCAATTCTTCGGTGCTCAGCTTTCTTCACACTCCAACTCTCACATCCATACATGACCACTGGCAAAACCATAGCCTTGACTAGATGGACCCTTGTTGACAAAGTAATGTCTCTGCTTT